GAGAGAGAGAGAGAGAGAGAGAGAGAACGGGGAGAAAGAAAGGTTGACAAGAATGAAAGTCTTTGAAAATATGGTATTTAGCCTGCACACACAAAACGCACAACCGCGAAGGACCAAGCTAGGGGTGGACAAAATCCGGATAATCTATCCGAATAACCGGATAATTAGCAATGAAACATTGTCCGAATTCAGACTCTGAACTCACTTTCCTGACCTACTTGCCGAAGTGTGTGTACTCATTCGTTGAAGTATCGCTAACCCGTTTGCAGAAGCGGTTCTATCATATTATTTGCCGAAGAGGTGCACTAATAACGTATTATCCAGATTTTGCTAAAAGCGACTCATTGCCCAGCTCTAGACCAAGCACTAAGATAGGTACGACTACAAGGCCATTTGCAGACAGAACCAGGCTCCCATAAAATAAATCATATAATAATATGCATATACTTTGAGTAAACTTCTCATATTACCATCACTGGTTCAATGCAAGAAGGGTTTAACTTTAGGTTTGTAGAATATGAGGGGATTGCTTTTCGTTTCTGCGCTGAATTGATGGCTTTCTGTCCCCTTATATTTCATCGCTCAGGAATTCTCATTTCCCACGACCACGGTAAAGCTTGAAACAATATACGCTCATTACTTAAAAGTGTTTCTATTTCGGTCGGCTCCATTTTGTCAGGGAATGTGGCAAAAGAAGAAAGTTATAAATGTGAGCTGCATGGGATTTTGTTTGTAAACAAGGAGAGACAACTGCTCACCTGGCTGGAAGCAGAAATAGCATGCAGTGTCAGGTGTTAGTGCATATGCACTTGCACGCACTCTCTGCATACAGGCACCCGGGTATTCATTCTCTCTCTCTCTCTCTCTCTCTCTCTCTCTCTCTCTCTCTCTCTCTCTCTCTGTGTGTGTGTGTGTGTGTGTCGGTCTTTCTCTTCCCTACTCACCCCCCAAAAAAATCAAAAAAAATCTGGGAGTTACTCCAGGGTGTTTAGGAGTGTTCCTTTGACGCACCTGCTCTTGTGTTTACGAACGATCTATATACATTATAGCCTACAATTGTTTCTTGTCACAGAAGAATACCTGCTGACACGACGATTGTTATAATCACAAGCCATTAACCCAACCATAATTCACCCTAAGGTGAAAGTTCTGAGTCGCTTGCTATCTTTCTCCCTGCTTTATCATAACCTTTTCTCTACCATCCTGTCTCATATTGCTATCTTTGCTCTCTTGTTTCAGATGGATGTACTATTGTTTGGGAAGACGCCCATAGGTATGGGCGTAGCCGGGCACAAAGAGGGCGACCTTGAACTTCGACCGGCCATGGCCTTAGACAGAGACAAGCGGTTTGTGGTGACCAAGGCTCTCGTGGAGCAGAGTCGTATTCTCGCCCTCTTCGTCATCTTCATCCTCCTCATTATCGTGATCAACACAGCCATCGTCGTTTTCATCGTCGCGTCCAAAGCAATGCGCCAGAGTTCTCGACACATCCTCATCGTCAGCGTCTGTCTTGGCGACCTGCTCATGGGACTCTTCGTTCTTCCGGTTCGTGTTAACA